TCTATCTATCTATCTATCTATCTATCTATCTATCTATCTATCTATCTCCGCTTTCCCCATCTATAATCTTGACCCATCCACCTATCTTTTCTTTCCTTCCTTTGTTCCTGGTCGTCCTATTATCTTTCTTCCCCATAATCTTTATCTATCTATATCTCTAATCCATCTTCTCTGTCAACAATCTTTCTCTTTTTCCGCTCCGTCCCTCCCACCCTTCCCTTATCGTTATTCTTCCTTTCTTCTATCATCTGTTTGTCTTCCCTGTAATCTCTCTCTCTCTCCCGCCTTCCTTCCTTCCCTTCCCTATCAACCCTTTCCTCCTTCTTTCTATCATCCATCTACGTGTTTTCTCTATAATCTTTCCCCTTCCTTTCCTTCCCTTCCATCATTTTTCTTCCTTCTTTCTATCATCCGTCTACATCTGTCTCCTGTATAATCTTTCTCCTCCCTCTCTCCCTTCTCCTCCCTTCCTTCTGTCCAACCCATCCATCCCTTTCTTTCCTCCATCTTCCTATCACTTCTGCCCATCCATCCTCTATCTCCATCTATCTCTCTGGACTTTGGCTTTCAGTGCTAACCACAGCACAGCTACGTGTTTGTCTGTTTGTTTGTTTGACCGGGGAGAAGCCGGCTGGATCCTTGACGTACCCGGGCGACTTCGATCCATCGCTCCACCACTTTGGCTCTCTGCTGGGGCTTCAGCATCCTGTCCCCAAGGCAGGTGGCAATGACGCAGTTGGTGACGCTGTTGAACTGGGAGACGGTGGCCCGGATGCTGGGCGCCAAGTGTTCCTTCCCCTTCTTGTCCCGCTGAGACCAGATGCACCCGAGACAGTGATAAGGCACCACTTTCTTGAAGAGTTCCTGGGGTGGAAAAAAAGGGGAGGGAATCCACTCAGCGGGTAAAAAAAGGCCCGGACGTGACGGAAAGCGAGGATGGGCCAAAGGCAGCACGGGTGACATCCCACACCAGGGTGGGGGAAGAGAAGAACTTGGGGGATTGATTTGGGTGCGGGAAACCAATATGACATGCTTAATAAATCTACACTTTTGAGGAGCATGCCTGCCTTGGAGTTTTCATTCCATTTGGGGGTATCAACTGGACCCCCGACAGCAGGCGTAGCTAAACTTACAGCATCCATCAGGGTGAACTGCTCGGCCGCCATCTCTGGAGAAAAGGACAGGAATTCCAACTTGCCTTCGCTCAGGCCATTTTCCTCCTCTAACCTCAGGGGGCAGCTGGGGTGATCTATATAGCAAGGCAAAAAAGTAACATCCTTGTTCACACAACCTTCTTACCCCGGGGGGTTCTTCCGTACACCCGTTTCCTAGGGGCAGAGGCAGGAGACGGATGTCACCCAGGCAGTGCCAGACAGGTGAATCCCCCATCATAAATCCTTTGGAAGTTTTGGGGAGTTTGGCTCGCATCTCACGATTTCATTGGGGTGATCGCCGGAACCCTGACAACGGCAAGGCCAAGAGGTTCGGTTCCGTACAAACCGTAGGAAAAGGAGCCCAGGGTTTTGGAAAAGTTATTCTACGCCGCTCACCTTCTGTTTCGGCCTCGGATCGCTCCTGCTGCTGGAACTGAGTGAAGAGGATTCGGGCTCGCCTCTCCAAATCAGAGCCGGGGATATTAAGCCTGACATAAATGATCAGCTGCTTCAGGCAGGTGTAATCCGGCGGCTTACGGAAGTCTTCGGAGTATTGATCGAGCCAGGCTCCCAGGATGGAGGAAATGGTGCTGAGGGGATCAAGAGGGAGAAGGAGGCTAAGACTTTGGATGCATTTATTCGTGGAACTATTTTGTTGCTGGGGTTGAAATGGGGGGGTCCTCGGTGGCTCTCTGAGCTTGGTGGTTTTCTTGTAGACGTTTCGAGGGCCTGACTAGGTAAAGTCGTAAGTGCTAGAAGGATGTGGGGAGAGGAGGAGGAGGAGGAGGAGGAAGAAGAGGAAGAAGAAGGAGGAGGAGGAGGAGGAGGAGGAGGAGGAGGAGGAGGAAAGACTCTTGATGGCTAGAAACATGAAAGAAAGGCAAGACGGCGCAAGAGGCGCTTACTTTTTCAACTCCAGCTTCTCGTCCACCGCCTGCTTGGGGTGATCTCCGTTGGCCTGGAGGTTGAACTTCCCATACCTGGACAGAAAAAGGAGAAAAGGAGGTTCTGTATGCAAAACTTTAAAATTATTATTATTTTTTAACAGCACATGATCGCTATTTGTTAGGTGTGAAGCTTCCTGGCACTATATCTATCTATCTATCTATCTATCTATCTATCTATCTATCTATCTATCTATCAATCATCTATCTATCTATCTATCTATCTATCTATCTATCTAATCTATCATCTATCTATCTATCTATCTATCTATCTATCTATCTATCTATCTATCTATCTATCTATCATCTATCTAATTCTATGTAACTAATTCTATCTCTAATTCTATCTATCATTCTATATATAATTCTATATCTTTTCTATCTATCTATCTAATCCTATCTATCTATAATACCCTATCCTATCGTATCCTATGACTATTATTAAGTGTTGGACCTTATGATTCTTAACTCTTAAGGAATGTCTCTTTTCTTTTATGTATACTGAGAGCATTTGCACCAAGATTGGCCAAACACACTTGGCCAATAATAATTCTTTCTTTCTTTCTTTCTTTCTTTCTTTCTTTCTTTCTTTCTTTC